CCTACCAGGCCACAGGGACCGTGGTTTGCCGAAGTCTGGCATTGCATATGCATACAGACCGCTCATCAGCCGCTACACACAACACACACTGGGCTGATGTTGTGTCTTTTAAATGCGTCAGCTGGCTGCCTTCTCATCCACGGTAAGCCGGAGTAGTCTCAGGCTTGCATCACGCATGTATCCTAGGAGCTGCATTTGGAGGGAGCTGAGGAGCAACCATGCCTACTGAACATACTTATATGCATAGCTTAAGTCAAATGTGACAAATAAAGTGGCTATGTTATATGTAATATGCGCTAACAATACTGGCTTAAATAGGTGTCAAGGCCGAAGTCTGAACTTCCGGGGTATTGACGCCTCTTCTATCTATGTCCGCCACATGGCAGTTCGACCGCCGCTCTCGACGATGTCCACCAAGAACTTCAGCAAGCTGAGGGCAGACGCGGTGACTATGGCTAGATTATAGTGAAAGTAGACTCGCCGCATCTACCCCACTCTCTCACCACTCCCACACATATATCCGATGTAAAGACAAAAGTCAAGAAGACCGGAGATGGAGTAGGGCGCAGGCAGTGTGCGTGAACACACTCTAATATGCGCCACAACAACACCACCTTACTAGTTAGGCTTTCACGTGTGCGGAGGCGCCATAAAGACCACATTAAGAAGGAGCCATTGCAGCCTGACTCTCAGCCCGCCAGTCAGCCCCTCCACACAACAAGGCATACACTGGGCTGACTGAGGTGTCCAAGTTTTCCCGTCAGCTGGCAACCCTCCAAGCCACGGCTTTTAACGCACCGCGATAGCTTCAAGCGCACCAGATTGCTTTTAATGAGGAAAGAAATGCACTAAGGGTCGTCCTCACTCTCTCCTCCACCGCCAGGCACAGGCCGCCGCCTAGTTGATCGGTCGTCTGAGGTGGGATGGGCGCATTGGCTGACTGTGCTGGCGGACCCATCTGCGCGGACCATATAACGACTTGGCCTCCTTAACACATACACCAGGATTAACATAACATGGGAATTAGAAGGAGCCGACTCCCCTGACTCCCAGTACAGTAGTCGTCGGTTATTAAGCCCACGGTTAATAGGCAAAGCCGCGTATTAGGTCAAAATCAGCTTGGGACGGAATTTTACATAGCCAAATCCGCCGGCTACAAAGCCCAGTTTGACATCAGGATAGAGTGAGATTCTCATCTCTCTGCGTGCGCTACACATAATACAGTACGTATGTAATGTATAGAGCCTATCCTGCGTTTGCTATTCAAGAACTAGGACTCTCCGGTTAATGTACCCTCCGCTTATTAAGCCCAATTTGGTCTGGACCCGAGGTGGGCTTAATAACCGGCGACTACTATATCACCCGTCAGCCACTTTGCATACAACACACAGAGACGCTAACCTTTCCGGTGGAGTAGACAACCGAGAAGGGTACCTCCAGACCTCCCAACCACCGGCGTTCGCTGCGATGAAGGACAGTCTTGGATACCGCCGGAGCCGTCTCGGTGATGCTGACATCTCCCGATCCGAAAGCCTGCGGTCGTCTTCCGTCCTCCACAACATTGGTCACCTCGTCGAATACGTTGATAAGAATGGAGCTGCTTACTGCGTTTAAGCTGGTGAGATTGGGTGGCGGCCTGTGGAAGCAAGCATGGCGAGAAAATGAGGCTTCAGAGTGAAACGGGGGGGGAGCAGTTTACAGTCTACAGAGGAAAAATCTGTCCACTCGCACGATGAGTCAACACACACACACACACACACACACACACAAAGGCGGTCGCCAGCTACCCCACTGTCTGGGTAGCGATCTCTCCTCAATTCTGATTGGTTGATGTCCGATTGGACAGTGTCTCGACGCGGACCATTAAAAGGCGTAGCCTCTGTGTGACAATGACTTGCTTTGTGCGAATACACGCTGCTCGTGGTCGCTCGTGTTCTCCTGCTTCTCTCGTACGAGCCTGGGGTACAGCAGTCAGGCCAGCCCACTGTTTGTGCTAATTACCAATACCAGGTGTGGGTCGTAACAAACTCTACTCTAACTGTGTATTACCAGTCAGGTATAATTTTTCTTTCAAAGATTTTCAATACCGAAAGGGGCACTTACTTTAAGATTTAAAAAGCGTAATTTACCGCTAAACGAGTACCAGAAATAATATTTTAGTACACATATATCAGTTTACATGGGAATCAACGAGGAGGCACACTAATGAGGTGGCTATTATTTACAGAATATACTCTTTGCAGACGGTCAGAAAAAAGCAAGCCACAAAGCCAGAATCGTGCTATGACTCTTGAGATTAGACTGAAAACCAGTCAGTTTGAGAATCCCACTTAACTAATTTCCTTGAATCGAAAACACATTTCAGAATTCTGGTTGACATTTCACATAAAAGGGAATCTATTGTGAGCCAAAAATATAAGATAATGTAGAGTTCAGCTCGCAACGTACCCTGTATGCAAAAATGTCACGTTCCGGAACGGGTTAAGCGAATACATTCAAAGGCACGATGTTTCAATTGCCTAAAATTGATACTTTCAATTTCTGTCATCACATTCCATGAGCTAGATTACACACTGTAAGTTACCTTTTTACAGCTGGAATGTGGAACTACCTTCAACTTGGTTGAGTCTGATCTGGTTGCCTGGTCTGACAGCGGTGGAGAGGTAATCCTTCATCGTCCTATCACATCCGTTTACAGTTCCTGGTTTGCAAAGCCTTATGGGATGGTGAACGACCTCCGGCATATTTTAGTTTCTGCCGCTCCGTTTTTTTACTCGTTTTCGCCTAACAGGTAGGTTAATAAACAAACCTACAGTCGGGACAAATTTAGCCATTCATATTTGTTGCAAGCCCACTAGAGCAAGGTCGCGGTTTCAACGTGATGACTACTTGGCCATTCGGTCCCCGGCAATAGTTATAGTTCGA